CCCCGCCCAACCCGGAAGTCGGGTCTTCGGGTTGGGTCGGGGTGGTCAGGTAGGTAGTCGTTCATAGGCAGGCCGCCGAAGGCGCGCGCCAGCTTCCCCAAAAAGTTCAAGCAGAAGAAGCAATCGGAGAAGCGCGCCAAGAAGCAGGACAGGGCCAAGAAGAAAGATGGCCTCGAGGCTTGCGAGGGGCCCCCCTGGCACGGCAAGGTGGCGCGCGTCGCCGAAGAGTGCGTCCGCGAGGGCAGGCTCGGCAGAGTGCAGGACCTCTGGCGAGTCCCGGGCGCCGAGGACGAGTGCCGCATGCGCGTCCTCGAGGCGGAGACCGCGGCGATGGTCCAGATCGAGAGCAGCAAGGCTGGGGGGTCACAGGCACTCGTTAGCTTTCGCCTGCTTCTGCCCGGGGCGGCGGAAGCAAGCGGAAGTTAGCGGACGAAGCCATGAGTAGGCGGAAGCAACGCGGGGCGGAAGCGGGCGGAAGCTAAAGATTGCCTGCGGATCCCGAGCGCCACAGGTCACGATCGGGCAGGACTACAGGTTCCAGGCCGCAGAAGTTCGACTGGCGCCAGACAAGACAGACTCGCCGCACCGCGCTCGCCAAGGTGCACGATCACGAACTGCGAGCAGATCGTCAAGGGCGACGCCCCCGAGCTGGGCACAGTGCACGCGCCGCTGGGCGAGATTGACGAGCTCGTGGGCGTCCTCCCCCGGCGCCGTTCCGGCGGTCGAGCCCGCGGCGGCTGTCGCCTGGGCTCGAGAGGGCCAGGGCGAGGGCGCGCCCGCCGCCCAGCAGCCCGAGGTGCAGAAGCGCTGTCGACAAGGCTCAGCGCGTCCTGGTCTGCGCGCAAACCGAGGCGCCCGCGCACTACACGCGCCTCAAGGCAGGCGGTTGCTACAATGGTCCCTCCCCCGAGGCGCCTCAGGCGTTTCACTCCGGTCAGGGGCGAATCCTGGGGGCGCCTTGGGCAGCGGGCACTTGTTGCAATTCCAGCCAGGTCTCGAGGATCGACGGGGTCGGCGTCGCGGCGGAGTGCCGCGACGCCCTCAAGCAGCCACCCGAAAACGCCAAGCAGGCCCAAAAGGGCCACGCGCGAAATCACGTTTATTCCCCGCGATTTCTGAGGGGGGAAGGTAGGTTTGGTTCGCTTGGTTCGGGAGCTGCCGAGCGAAGTGCACCCCGCCCTCCCCTTCAGAAATCGCGGGTAGGGTTCGCGCGTTGCTTCCCGAGGCCGCCGCGAGGATCCCCCGCAAGTTCGGCGCCATTGGCCTTGGCGAGAATTGCCCAGCACCGAGCAACAAACAGCGCCGAGCAGACGGTTGGAGGTGCGGCGTGTGAACGAGTCGCTGGATCGAGCGCGCCCCGCGCGAGATCCGAGGCGAGGGCCGCCAAATGCCCGTGAGCCTCAGCACCATGGTCGCTCGAGGCAACGAGTTTATCAGTGAGCTCTAGGAGGCCAGTGACAGCGATTTGGCGATGGCCAAAGCCAAGGCCAACGCCAAGCACAAGTCCAACCCCTGCAAGGACCCCACGGCGGCCGAGCCGAAGTACGCCACCATCGAGGAGGCCAGCGCCGCCGCCCAGCTTTGCACCAAGTGTTTCCTGCGCAAGGACGGCTCCAAAGGATGCCGTGCTTGCATGGGAGAGTGGTTCGAAGTCCAGCGCAAGAGAGGTTGCTTGGCCAGATCGGCCAGGGGCCTCCTCTCGCGTTGGCAAAATGCAGGCGCCTGCTTAGCCGCGAGCCTCTCGATCTCCCAAGTCAGCCTTGCGTGGTGTGCGCCTGCTCGCAAGTAGCCACGGGCCTCGAGATCTCTGGAGTCAGCCTTGTGCCGAGCGCTCAGGATCACCATCATCGCCATCATCGCCGCCGTCATCATCATCACCCCAATGTACCTTCCCCAGGGAAATATCGTATTGTCACCGCCAGATCGCCGTATTTGATTATCCCCAGGGGATTATCATCGCCCGCGGTCAGTTAATCCTTCCTCAGCAATGGACAGCGATGGATGCGGTAGGGTGTCAGATGTTGCGCAAGCGCACCTTGTGGCTCACCCTGCGGCGCCAGCATCCTCAAACGCGAAAGCTACAATACCCAAACACCCGACAATGGTTCCCAAACGAGTGACGCCAATATCCAGGCAGTTGCAAGCGGATGCGACGACCTCTGCCTGGACGTCTTCGCGTAATCAACGTGCTGTGCGTTTTGCAATTGATCGGGCAGCAGGGGGAGTAATGGAAGGGGGGTGCTTTGCGTGCAATCGTGCGCCAAGAACCTATCCAGGGCTTCTGGCGAACAATATTCCGAATTTCAATATACAATTGGTGTGGTTGGATTTTTTCCCGAATGGGTTTGAGGCCCAGGGTTCTCTTTTAGTTTGTTCCCCCCCGGTTTTCACGGGAAGAGGGCCGGCGGATTTCTTTTGCGATAAATGACGAGTGGGAAGAAGGCCGGCGAATTAACATTTGAGGATGTCCCTAGCGAAACGCTGTTTTTGTTTGTTTTTGTTTTTGTTTCAGAATTGTTTGAGGATGTCTCGAGCGAAACGCTTGTTTTGTGCTAAAGATTGTCCTCTCCAGGGGACTTGAATTCAGAGGATCTCTCAAGTGAAATGCTTGTTTTCACGTGCCCAGGTCTTGAGGATGTCTCGAGCGAAACGCTTGGTTTCACGCTTCCAGGTTGCCCAGACAGATGTCTAGCATGAGGATTTGTTGAGGATATCTCGAACCAGAGGCTTGTCTTCACGTGTCCAGGTCGGCCAGGCGGATGTCTAGCATGAGGATGTGTCGAGGAAGTCTCGATCGAGACGCTTGTTCGCACGCGTCCAGGTTGCCCAGGCGGATGTCTAGCGTGAGGATGTGCTAAGAACGACTTGAGCGAAACGCGTGTTTTCACGTGTCCAGGTCGCCCAGGCACAGCACAGCCCTCGGCACGGTACATCAATATTGATACCTTCAGCATTGCAGCTTGGCATGTTGCTTGGCACGTTCCGCGGAGCGTCCCGTGGCGAGTCCCCCTGGCACGTCGCGCGGTGCACGTCCAGTGGCACGTTCCGTAGCGCGTCCCCTTGGCACGTCCCGCGGTGCGTGCCCATGGCACGTCTCCTGGCACGCCGCCTGGCGCGTCCCTTGGGACGTTCCGCGGCGCGTCCTCCTGGCATGTCCCCCTTGTCGATTAGTTCTGGGGCAGCTACCATCTGCTCAGGCAGTTCGAGCTTAAGATCCAGATCAGTTCGGTCAGGACTTGGATGCAAAGAGGACTCGACCCACAACGCTTTATTGAGCACAATCGCGGCATGTCACATCGCATTTCCGCACGGCCAGCACAGCACAGCGCAGCCGTCGGCACGGTACATCAAGATCGATACATTCAACATTGCATCATGGCACGTTCTTTGGCGCGTTCCTTAGCGAGTCCACCTGGCACGTCGCTCGGCGCGTCCCCTGGCACGTCCCGCGGCACGTCAATTGGCACGTTCCGTAGCGCGTCCCCTTGGCACGTCCCGCGGTGCGTGCACATGGCACGTCCCCTGGCACGCCGCCTGGCGCGTCCCTTGGGACGTTCCGCGGCGCGTCCTCCTGGCATGTCCCTTCTGTCGATTAGTTCTGGGACAGCTACCATCTGCTCAGGCAGCTTGAGCTTAAGATCCAGATCAGTTCGGTCAGGACTCGGATGCCAGGGAGGACTCGATCCACAACGCTATATAGAGCACAATCGCGGCATGTCACATCGCAGTTCAGCACGGGCAGCACAGCACAGCCCTCGGCACAGTACATCAAGATCTGTACATTCAGCACTGCATTTGCCCGTCGCCCAATCAAGTGTCTTTGAAACGTTGCCATGCCTTACATTTCTATATTCCTTTCTGGGTTCGTGGGTCGATCATGTTCTGGGGGTTGCTTCGAGTTGTTTGGGGGGTTCCCGTGGGGGTCTGGGCAGAAGGCCGCCTTTTCATGGCTGGTCTCGGGGGGGGCTCCAAAACTGCTCAGATGGGAGCGTTGCAACCCTTCTTTGTAAAACAACAATAAATGGAGTAGCTGGGGGTGGGAACGGAGGGGGACACTGTATGCAATCGTGAATCAGGACCCTGTTCCAGGGCCTCCGGCGAACAACACCCAGTTCTTTTTGAACCGAGCTGCGCTGCAGTTTCCACCGCGAACAGCCGCGGCGGGGAGCGAGGAACACACGCGCGAGGAGGAGCCATCAAGGCTGCTGCCATCGATGTTCTGCCTCCCTCCTCACAAACCGAGAAGCACGGATAGCGTTACAGTCGGACCGAGGTATCAGTTTGAGGTCGGTTCGGGGAGGGTGGCCTAACGCTTTTCGTGTTTGATGGGCGTTCTTCTGCACCCTGGGGGAGAGTACCTTGGAGTGTTTTTCAGTCTGGCCGGCGGAGGGTCTCATGCTCTTGAAGGATGCTCCTCTGTCCTAGGTCTGGCCGCAGTCTTCCGACCCACGGGTAATCGCCTGAGTCCCCCCCCCCACGTGTTCCCCCCTTCTGAACCGCTGGTGAGCTGACTTGTACGCGATCCATGGGCCTTGGACTCTCCCCCCACGCTGGGAGCAAGGTTTTTCACCCAGGATCGCTCTGCTGGTCTTGGGGCGCGAGAGAACACACCCACTGAAGGCCAGAGTAGAGGAACAGGCCGCCTCCAGCGAGGAGGTCGCCGATACCTCGTAGAGCCGGAGGCTGCAAATGCCTCGAGCGGGGCAGGCGGTACCCTACCACCATGAAGATCGGTGGCGCGCAGAGGGGGGTGTCGGGGAGGGGGGAAGGCTTCTGAGAAGCACCCCTGCTTCTTAGAAAGCGCGGGCCTCGTCTGTAGATGTCAGGCCAGCGCCCTCTAAGAAGCAGGGATCTTTCTAAGGAGCCTTCCCCCCTCCCCCTATCCCCCTGTTCACGCCGCCAGACCATGGTGACCCACCTGCCATGGCCCCTCTGGCTGGTGGTGCTGGTGGTGGTGGCGTCGCGCTCCCTCGCGCCTGCCCCCCCTGGGCGGGGCGAAGGTCCACTCCCAGGGCGTGGCCAACTTGCTCTGGGCGTTCGAAAAGCAAAAGGGCATGGGCAGCGCCGCCTCTCAGCAGCTCGAGGCGGCGTTCGCCCCCCGCGCGCGCGCGCCAGCGACGCGCGCGCGCGCGGCATCGGGCGCCGAGCAAAGCGACGAGGGCACAGACGACAAGGGCGAGGGCGAGGGGAGGTGTTGGGGAAGGGAGCGAGGGGCGGGGGTGGAGAGTGAGGGAGGAGGAAGCGGGGGTGCGGGCGGGGGAAGGGGGGGAGGAGGGGGCAGGAGGGGGCAGGAGGGGGCAGGACGGGAGGAAGGAGTTCAGTGAGGGGATGGGGCGCCAGGGGTAGGCAGTGGAAGAGGATGTACGCAGGAGGGGAACAAAGGACGAGGAGAGGCAGGGAGGAGGGGAGGGTCGGAGGGGCGGGGCAGGAGGTAGTGGGGAAGAGGAGGATGGCGGGGGGGGAACGGGAGGGGAGCATGGATCAGGAAGAGGGCAGGGATCTGGCCTGCGGCACGGCGGGGGTTCGGGAGGAGAGGAGCGCCCCCGCTGCCAATCTGGAAGAGGGTGCCGGGGGGACGGGCCACCCCTGCAGTGTCTCGGTGCGTGGGGGCCCTCGCGTTGTGCCGCTGCGCTGGCGCGAGATGCAGCCATGCCTGCATCGTACCATCGGACAGCGGGGCCAAGGCTTTCCCAGCGACGGTCGGCATACTCACTCAGGTGGGGGACAAACACACACACAGGCACAATGAATCGTCGGCTCCCAGGAAAATATGGGGAATATATGAAAGGTGGGGGGAAGACGAACACCCAGAAAATATGGGAAAATATATGGGATCCTGTTATTCGTGTGTATTTATTTATGTGTGTCCCTGGGCCCCTTTACATACGTCTAACGTTGCCGGGTTCGCTCCTCCAGTTGAGCGACGCCAACAAACGGGGTCGTCGGTGCGGGCATTCGTGCGTGAGTTGCCCGCGTAAGCTCGCGCGTAAACGCCCTCGTCTCCACTGTAGCGTGCCGCGCTGGCGGCCCGCGTACGCCGCCGCTTAAGGCCGCTGTGTCATCTCGCGTAAGACCCGTTTTTGCTCTCCGCTCAGTTGCTCCCCACAGCAAGTTAGCTTGGCGACGGACCCCTGTCCCCCCGCACCGGGCGCGAGGCCGCCGTGTACGTGCTGCTGCCGGCGTGCAGGCGGCTGCTGCCGCAGCTCAAGCAGCAGGAGCCTCCCACCCCCCGCCCGCCCTTTCGGTGGAGATGGAGGAAGGAGCAGGGAGGAGGAGTTGCGGTGCCTGCCTGTTCCCGTGTATCCGACGCGGGTTCGGCGCGGATGCGAAGCGGACCCGGCGTGGACTCGACGCGGACTCGACGTATGATCTGACTCGGAGTCCACGCGTTCGGCCGAAGTTCGACGCGGGTTCGAGGTGGAGAACGGCGCGATGGGACACAAGGCCCCCCGAAGATGCGACACAGGAGGAGCAGGGGGCTGAGTCTTGGAGTCGGCTCCCTGCAGAGACGTGCGGGCGTCTGAGGGTGGCTCTTCTATCCCTGTTTCCTACAGCTCCCCCTATCGTACTGCAAGCTATGCCCGTAGGCCATGCCAGGCGCTTGGCTTCCTTGAGCGTGTGGCTCTCGCCTTCCTCGCCGCGCACGTTCGTTTTACCAGCTGGAAGCAATTGCACGGATGGAGGGTCGGCCGTTTTTTTAATGAGATGATCGTGTTCGTTTGTTTCCAACGTAACACGGATGGATATTGGTTTCAAAATGGGATCATTGCCGGAGGTTTCCTCCAACAGATCACGTGTTGATGGCGCCCTTTTCTTCAGAATTGCACGTGTTGTGGGTCTCTCGTCTGAGACTGTGCACGTTTTCGTGACCAGAGTTCCCACCCAGCTCGTACAACAGCTCCACGGGTGCAGGGCGGTTGCGCTTGTCAGAGGGGGATTGCCTTCTGGCGGTGACGTGGATTTTGGACCCCCCCGTGGCCGCACTCCTTCTAGCTTGAAGCATGGACCGAGTGCAGTGTCAACATACGGGGCGAGAAAACGACCACAGCCACTGCTTTTCTTTTGTTGCCGCCTTCCAGCCAGCAGAAACAAAGCAGTGGTTGTGGCCATTTTCGTTAAGCTTGGCACCAGGGAAATGACCATAACCACTGCTTCTTTTTCGGCCGGCTGGAGGGCGGCGCAAACAAGAAGCAGTGGCTGTGGTCATTTTCCCGTCCCGCAAACACGGGGATCCCACCTGAGTTGGACGCCCACGGGACGCTCGTCTTTCAGGGTGGGGGGCAGCCGCCTCCCGCAGCGAAAAAGAATGCTTGTGCGTAGGGGTCACAGTCAACCCGCCTGGTAAGGTTGAGCGACCTTTCAAGGCTACCCTTGCATCCTTGTCCCTTCGGCCCATCCTTCGCGACTTTCGCTGGCCAACCTCGTTCGAAAAACGTTGACCGTGAGTTCCAAGGCCCTTGCATCCTTACCGCGCATCCTCACTGTGCGGGTTGACTGTATTGAGGAGTGCTCTCGGGACCAGGGACCGTACTGCAGCATTGTTTATTCATTTGGGTTTGTTATGGTTTTCCCCATGCTGCTCCTCCCCTCCCCCTGGTCCCCCTCCTCATTGGTGCCTTGAACATCAACGTAGGTGAGGTTCTCCCCGACTGGTGAGGTGGTGGCAGGCCGAGTCGCCCATCTTGGGCGTAGAGGCGCCTGCCCGCTTGGTGCACGCCGCTAAGGAGCGGTGCCCGCGGGTATTGATTTCGCTTTCGCGATGCCCGATGCCGCACCCTCGCATCGTCGGGCCACGCCCCGGTAGAAGTCCCCCTCCTCGTTCCTCCCCCCCTCCTCCTCGTGCTCATTCCCCTCCTGCGGCTGGTCCCTCGCCTCTCAGGAGGGGGAAAAACGCACAGACACAATGAATCGTCGATTCCCCAGAAAGTACGGGAAACTATGGGAAGTGTGGGGAAGACAGAAACCCAGACGAGATTGGACAAATCTGGGGAATCCTGTCATTTGTGTCTATTCATTTGTGTGCACCCGGGCCCCCTTCATCCTCTGTGTCTCCTCCCTCCTCCCTGTGGGGTCATGGGCGGCCTGGCCGACCCCTGGCCGGCCTGCTCCTCCAGTGGCGGCCCCCCTCGCGCCGCCCCTTCGGCCAGCACGGACGCGGCTCGCCACCCCGTGGGGGGGGCGGCAGGCCGCGCCCGAGGGGAGAGCCCTGCGCAGCAGCAGGGAGAGGACCACGAGCGACGAGCACACGCGTGTGTCCATGCCCTCGCGTCGTGGCGTCGGCACGCGGTCCCGCGGATGGGTGCACGAGCGCACGGACCCGTTCCTTCAAGTGCACCCGCACACGGACCCGTTCCTTCGAGCGCACGAGCGGCTCTGTATCCATGCGTTCGCGGCCGAGGAGGCTTGACCGCGGGGCCGTAGATATGGATATGTTTCCCGTTTGCGAGATCTGGAGGTTGGAACAAACGACCCCAGTTGTGTTCTTCCATTTCGGTTTCCAGAGGCCTGTTTCGGGCCTTGGGCCCGACGAGCGGGAGCGTTGCGTGGAAGTAGAGTTGGTGGGAAGGCTTCTTGTGGAACGAGGCAGTCCTCACCCCAGCGTGCGCAACTCAACGATCGCAGCTACGTGCACAGACCTGTACCACCAGTCGGAGCTCGAGGTGGAGGGAGAGGAGGTGGTTACTGCGGATTCCATAAGAAAGTGGGGGGGGGCCCCATTCGGGGGGGGTCTAATTTGAGCTGCCTTGGAGGGTTCGGGGGGGTCTGGGCAAAGGGCCGCCCTTTCATGGATAGTCTGGGGGGTCTAAAACTTCTTGTCTGGGAGGGTTGTGACCCCCTCCCTTTTATTACGACATCTGGACTATGGGGTTCATCTTCTTTTACGGCAGGCTCGTACGGCCTCAGCGCGGTGGAGACTCTGGCGCGGGCGTTCAATGATGCACTGCCCTCCTTGGGCCTGCCTCCTTGTGGCAGGGCTCACGGGAGGCAGCCCCCGGCGCGGAATCCATGTGAGGGAGGATGCCGACACTGGACATCCTCTGGAGTGCGAGGGCGGAGATCGTGCAGCATTGAGCTGGCTACGCGTTGAATTCCGTGGTCCCCTCCCCTCCTTCTTCACGTCCTGGAGGATGAACAGGAGTGCGTTCCAGGGGGAGGGTGAAGGGAGAACGATCAAATAGGTAGGACAGCGGTGGGCCTGACTTGGCAGAGCTGACGGGGCACGCGCAACGGCGGCAAAGCCGCCAGGCGCGGTTGGGGGCGCTGCGGCAAGGCGCTGGTGCGCCGTTGGGGCTGCAGCCGCAGCAGGGACCGGGGCGCGGACTGCGCCTGGAGCTGGCGGCCGGCACTGGAGAAACACCGCGACTTCCGGGCAGCGCAAGGGAGGGTACGAAGGCTCCGGCCAGCGCGTCCCTTCCCTCATGAAGGCTGCTGTTGGCCGACGCGGGGTGTTGGAGGGGCGCGCTGTCGCCGTTTACGGAGCGCTAGGATCGCCTTCGGCTTGGGGGAGGGGAGGGACATGGGAGGAAGAGGATGGAGTCGGGCCGAGGATGAGCATCAGTCACACGAGTTCTTTCAGGAGCGCCCTGGAACGGCCTCGGCGCCTGCTCTATCCTCCAGGTCCGCTGGGTTTCTGAACTTCCAGGGTCATAAGACGTGTTCTGCATCCTGGCTCGCTTTCAAAAAGCGGATGAAATGAGCTTCGTGTTACCGGCTTGTTCAGTCGGGCCTTCTGGGATCCGCTTCTGAGTCGTGGTTGGACACCGTTCCGAGAGCCATTCTCTTTCCTAGTCTCATTTATACGCGCATGGATCTGTAATTTAATAGTGTGTACATGTGTGTCGAGGGTGTCTTTGTGCACGCGCGCAGCTTCCCTGAATCATTGAGCGGCTGGGTCGTCACCCTTCATTCGAGTCGCATCTGGGTATGCAACGAGACCGCCTGGTTGGGGACTCGCTGGGCCTTGAACGGCAAAGTGGGAGGATGGAGGATAGGACGGGGGAAGAGATGGCCAGGGTTTGGGAGCAGGGTTGGAGGAGAATGATCTGGAGGGTGGAGAAATAGGAGGGGGAGAAGCGACGGCCAGGGTTTGGGAGCAGGGCTGGCTGAGAATGATCCAGGGGATGGCGACGAGGGGGGACGCGGGAGTGCCTGGAGGGTGGGAGGTGGGTGCTGCGACGGTGCGGAGATGATGGGAGAGGTGCTTGAGCGGTCTTGGGGCCCTCTTGGGTCGTCTGGGAGCCTTCGTGGGGGTCTCCTGGGTCTTCTTGGTGCGATCTGGAAAGCTTCTTGGGCCGCCGCGGACGCTGTCAACGCACAAAAGGCGCACGTGCTAAAAAGGCACGTTTTCCCAAGGAAATGGGGCTGGGATTCGAGGCGGAGCTTTCACTCTAACCATCGCCTGGGGGATAGGTCTTCGGGGACCCTGGCAGGCGGTGGACATGGATGTGTGCGGGCCCCCTGTGGCCAGAATGTCTACATGTTCATGGCCCGCAGGGAGCCCAAAGCGGTGGATATGGATATATCCCCGGTTTTGGCTCCCCAACTTCCCTTGCCTTGCTTTATACGCCCGCGCCTTGCCGTGTTATTCCATGCAGGACGGTTTCAGGCCATCCCGCCCTGGGCATGATATCTTGACATGCTGGCGGTTTTCTCCTTCCTCGTTTCCTGTCGTCCCCGTCCTCTTACTTTTCTTATTATTCTTCTTCTTCGCCCCAGCCTGAACGAGTATGGTGTCGTCAGCTTCCCATCAGTTGGAAAGCTGGCAGTCTCCACGTCTTGTGGCCATCCCCGCGTCGCAAGGGAGTCTGGGGGTCCCGTGGGACGGCGGGGCAGCCCAGGCCGCCGACCGCGCGGGCCCCGCCCGGCACCTCCTGCTGGCGCGGCGGCGGCCCCGGCCGCTGCCCGAGGCAGGCGCAGGGGCCGTGCGCGGAAAGAACACGGCGAGGCCCTCCACGGCGCGCAGCACCGCTGGTGGCAAGGGCGCCCTCGAGGGCGCGAAGTTGTTCTCGCTTCGCGCTTCGCGGTTCGGCTCCGATTCCTCCTCATCCTCCTCTTCTCCCCTGGGAGGCGGCGCGAGAGCGCGAAGTCATTCGCACTTCGCGCTCCGCGCAGCGCGGAGCGCGAAGTTGGGAGCCCTTGTGGTAGGGGGCAGAGGGGCAGAGGCGACAGAGGGGCGGCGCGGCTGCGTCGGCGAAGACGATGAAGACCACAACCACCGCTACAATGCCGAGCACGACCGCCAAGACCACGGCCGCGACGACGACGAGAACGACGACGACCACCACCGCCCCCGTCACCTCCACCACCACGACCACCAACGCGCGACGATGGTCAATGCGGCGGCGGTGGCGGCGTCGACGAGCACATCCGCGACGGCGGTGACGGCGACGGGGCTCAGAGGAGGTAAAGGTACCCATACCTCTACCCATCGCCCCTCTTCCCCGTTTCGGGCCTCCTAGGCCCTCGTTGCCACCGCTGGCAGTCAGAACGCACCCTGGCAGAGGTCCGAGGAGTAGCGGTATTGGTCGAAGACAGAACGCTACGAACATTAATGTTTGGGTTTCCGCGCGGATTTCTTGCATCCACGCTGTGCCCCCCCTGGCGGCGCCTGGCGGCGCCTCAGGCGCCACACCCTTGCGCGCTCCGCGCGCCAGGGAGGGGGGTCCAGCGCAGCTCCCAGAAATCCGCGCCGAGCGCCGAACGCTTCTTCTTATTCTTCTTCTTCTTATTATTATTCTTCTTATCGGTCCCGTTTGGTCTTCACAGTGGCGAGGGCCGGGGCCGCCGCGGCGGCGGCGGCAACGCGGCCTCCCCCCCCTCTCTTTCGGATGCAACTCCTGGGATGTCAAATTCTGATTTTGCCCTGGTCTGAAATCCGGCTGAATCCGGCTCAACCCCGCTTAATCCCGCTGAATCCCGTTTTATCCGGCTCAATCCCGCTTAATCCGAAGCCCATTTTGGCGTAACAGCCCCACAATGGGGCTTAATCTTCCTACCAGCAGTTGCTTCCTACCTCTCTCTGCGCCGCAGGAGTTCGCCTGCGTCTTCCGGGCACTGGGGCGAATGGGGTTGTGCTGGGGCAGCCACCCCGAGGCTCCGACCCCTCTCGCGGCGGCGGCGCCTCCCCCAGGGAGGAGGGAGGAGGAGGAGGAGGAGGAGGAGGAGGAGGAGGAAGGAGGAGGAGGAGGAAGGATGAGGAGGAGGGGTGAGGAGGAGGAAGGGGTTACAGTCGGTCTTACTTTGACAGTCGGTGTTTCTACGGGGGTTTGGAGTTTCTGGAGGGGGTCCTATGAGAGGGGGGAGAAGGTCGTCGGATGTCACGGACACTGTAGAGCGCCCTCTGGTTTTTAAGCTAAGAGCGGTCCCACCCGTGAGCCCGCAGCAAACCGCACGGGCATACCCAAGGCAGACGCCAAAGGACCGTGATGAAGAGAGAGGCGAGGGGAAAGAGCTCTGCAGGACCCCCTCTGGAGGACCGTTTTTGCCGACGAGTCGTGGACAGCCGCGACTGGAGCCCTCGACCCCACCTTCCTAAGGCAGCCGTCGAGCCACGTCGGCTCGTGAGGGCTCCAGGGGACCGGGGCGGTATGCGCACGAGCGCCCGCCGTGATCTGCCCGTGACGCCCGGAGCTGAGTGCTCGCGGCCAGCCCCTCCCTGCTGTCGCTCTGGCATTAAAAGAATGCTCACCCATTACCAGCCTGGAACATATCCCTATCCCTATGCTGGGCATCTCCTCATCACGATGCCAATCTTAGGGATTCCCTTATTTTTTGAGGTCGAATCCCTAAGATTGTCATCGCCTTTTGACGTGTCAATCTTAGGGATAGGGATACGTTCGAGGCTGGTAAACCCCGGCAAGTCGGCATGACATCTGCACCAGTTCTCTCGACATCGTTGCTGGATGCGTTCGCCTGATTCGTGCCGTCGGCTAGCAAATTCGCCCGGGCCCACTTTGAATGTGATGCCGTGCGCACGTGGAGTGCCCTTTGGACGCTTTCGCAGAAGGGTGCTCTGCCACGGTGTGTTCTGTCAGCCGTCGACAGATGGCACACGGCGCGGCAGCCATCAGATAATGTTTCGGGGGTGGACAGACCTCCTACCCTGACACGTCGGTTAAGGAATTTGCCGCTTTCGGCTTGCGAGAGGGCGTCGCGGCCGTCATTTTTGCGGGTCCAGGTCCGTCGGTTTCGGTCCCAGGCCGTTTTCACTAAGGGGAGGTTTACTAAAAAAGAGGTTTGTCCACCGCCGAATATTGCGGATCGGCCACGCGTTCTCCACTCTGATTCTGGGCATGGGGCACGGGTTGTGTGCGCTGCATGGTGTTTCACCCCCATGTGTTCTAGTCCTCGGCATCCTGACCCGCCAAGATCCTGCAATTTACCGACTGGTATTGGTTTCAAGTTGGTGGCTGACCACCCTTTCAGTGTCGTAAGCGGCACGAGGCGGCTTAACGTCGATTATATTGCTTGAGGAGACCCGCGAGGTTTGTCTTGTCGAGTCTTGTCTTTTGCCCCTTACGTTGTACTGCTAAATCAATCCCCTACTCGTACTCTTCTAATGTTCCTCCTACTCCTCCTCCCGCTGACGCGTCCGCTGCCTGCTCATCCACACCATCAATTTCTGTGTTCCTCGCCCTCCTCTGATCTTCTTCCTCATCCTTCTCGCCCGCTACCCCCCTCCTTCCCCTCGTCCTCCACGTGCTCCTTGTCCCTCCTGTAGCCACTCCACTTCTGCTCTTTCCTTTCCTTCTCATTATTATTGTTCTTTTTCTGCACCTTCCCATTCGCGTTTTCCCTCCCCTTCTACCGCTGCTTTGCTGCTACCGGTGCCGCTATTGCACCCTGCAGTACCCCTGCTCGTCCAAATGCCTCGCCCCCCCAGTCTCCGCCTTCTTATTTCGTATGTGTTGTGCTGTTTCGCGTTTCGTCGTAACACTTGCGTGCGGTTGTTGCTGTGTTCCTCTTCCTCAGCGTCTGTTGCGGGGCTTCTTGGGGACCTTTTGGAGGCTTCGGGGGTGGCCTCGTGGGAGCCTTTTCAGTGCACATGGAGCCTTTTTGTTGACCCTCTGGACTTGTTTGTCGTTTGGGGCATCTTCTGGGCATGCTGGTCGTCTTGGGGCCATTTTCTGGGGGAGGTCTCGGGGCATGCTGGTCGCCTTGGGGCCATCTTCTTGTGGAGGGCTCCTGGGTCCACACGAGGTCCCCCTCTTGGGTCTCTCTTGCTCCTCCCGAAGCCCTCTTGGAAGCCGTTTTGACCGATTTGAGGGCCTCTCTGTGAACTCTGGCGCCGTGGTTTCTGTGGCGACATGGGACACGGGACATTTCGACCCCTTCTTTGGGACCTGCTTTTCATCTCGAGTCGGTTCGAGACGGTCCCCGGGTTTTGTAAGAGCCCCGGGTAGCCGACAATGACCGACAGTGTCTCGTCCCTCTTTTTGTTCACGACGCGAGGGAATCTGGTTTACCTCATCGTGCGGAGGAGGAAGAGGAGGAGGAGGAGGTGGTGGAGGAGGAGGAGGAGAAGGAGTCAAAGCAAGCGGCGGGAGGAGGGCCTCTCCCAGGGCACAGAGGCACCAGAGAGATTGAGGCAGGAAGAGAGCCTGCGCAAGTGCGAGGACGATCATGAGGGTTACTTCCAAACTGCTCAGGTTCTCATGTGGGGTCCTACCGGCGGGATATTTTTCACGACGCGAGGGGATCTGGATTTCACCATCGCTGGCTTTCATGGCTCGAGACATTTCATGGCCGCTCAAGCTACGTCCATTCTCCAAGCGAGGGAAACTCCCATTCCTTTTTTGGCATTCCCGTCATGCCAACATTATTGCTCTTACATTCCCACCCGTTCTTTCGCTATCACGCCACTTTTTCCTTTCGCCTTCCCGCATCTTGCGATGGACGGCGCGGGCTCGCGAGCGCCAGGGACACCAGTTTGAGGAGTCCTCGAACGGGACGTTCGCCAACGCTTGTTCAGCCCGCTCCACGACATGAACGATGCCATGCCTGGAGCGGAGGTGCACGACATTGCCACGCCTGACACTCCAGTTGGCGCCCAGCAGCAGGCACCGACCCCCCAGGAGATGGCAACGATGTCCCGGCAGGACGTGACCCCGCTCAACCGCGCCATGTCCGACCTCGAGCACAAGGTCACCGGGATGGGCGACATGATGGACTCCCGTATGAGCGCGGCGGAGGGGAAGATGGACAACCTCGAGACCCGCAGTGTGGACCTTGAGAAGCAGAACGCCAGCATGACGAACATTCCCCGTTTTGATGGCACTGGACGCCGAGATTTGGGAGCAGTTCCGAGTTCTGGAGCTGCAGATCGCCACGCTGAAGGTTTCGGGCCCCGTGTGTGCAAATGACAAGGCAAAGAAACATACAACCTTGGTCACCGGGGGCTTGCAGTCGTGGGGGTTGAGGTGAAGGAATGGGCGTCGAACCAGTTGCGAAACGCTTTCGGGCCCCAGCCTCAGGACACCTACGCAAAAACAGATGTCCAAGGCACTGTTTTCACGAAGTGTTTGTACACCATGGACCGGAACGCGGCCGTAGACACATTTTGGACAGGTTTTTCAACAAAAGGGGCAACAACGTATGGGCGAAACTTAACAAGTTTCTCTCTGAACGCATCCTGCCCTCGTTCGCTTTTGGAGTGCAGCGCACGTTCAAGGATGGGGGGTGCGAGGCCCAGGCCGCGTGGGCCGACCCAGAAGAAGGCAGACTATGGGTAGGCAGTGAGGTCGCTGTTGTTGCGAACGTAGAGGGGGGCCATCTGTCCGCGGTTGACAGGGCTGGCTGGAAGGAGAGGCTCACGAACCCGGCGTTCCCAGAGTACACCACCCACGTTGCCAAGTTGAGCTGTAAGTTGGAGAACGTCCCTGCCAAAAAGGGGGCGGGAAAGCAGCGCTCAAAGGAAAGGCGAAGGGTGGCACAGGAACGAGTTCCCATCGCAAATAGAGAGCCCAGCGGTGCGCAAGCAGAGAAGTTTCACTTCAAAGACGTGGAGATGGCCAGCCTTATCGTCTACGTCCCCTGGGATATCCTGATGATTCAACTGCTGGGCCGAGGCTTTCTGGTGAAGCCAACATGCCTCTTCATGCAGTCCGGGGTGGTCGTTTGCGCCCCGCGAGAGCCGAATTCAATATTGCATCGTGGAACATTGAAGGTTGCACAGAAGCGTAACAAGTTGGACTGGCAATTGTTACGCATTACAACCATATTGGGACCCTGTGCCTGCAAGGGACGTGGCGGCCGAAATCTGATACTTTCGTCACGGAGCCCGGCTTCCTGATCATGCTATCCGGCTGTGCATGGGGAGGATTCAGAGCGTGCTGGAGGGGGGTTTTTGGTGAGTCCGGAGATCGATCGTGGGCCCTTGCCAGGCTACATCCAGAATGGCGTCCTCGAGGCTACGTGCGCCAGGTGGGAAGGCGGTCATGTTCTCCGCCCGCGCGCCCCGCACCTGGCAAACCTTTCGAACAACGGCGCACTTTCTTCCACGATCTGACGCAACTTGTGGAACCCGGGTCTGCGCGTGGACCTGCGTTTGTGCTTGGCGACTTGCGCGCGAAGCTGTTTCGCAGGTTCGTTGGAGAATGCCCTGTCGTCGGCCCCAGCGCGCTGCCGTGCCCGCAGGGGAGTGCAAAGGGGGCGCTAATAGAACTTTCCTCGTGGACACTTGCACGCATTTAAGCATGTGTTTGGCGATCGCATTATTTTAAGTTCCTGCGGGTCGCCCGGCGACGTCCTGCAACGTCGGCGCCCCCGCCGGCGCGGATGTTAAATGGCAAGAGCATTTGCATATCGATTTTCCAGCGTGCGAACACAGGTGGCTCCACAAAGTCAGCGGCGCGTGCGTCTGCGCGCCAGAAGGTGCCGCTATCCCCCCACCATGCCCTGCTGCAGGCTGTGGTGTTGCTAGACGTTGACAAAGGCGCCGGAAAACCTGCGCGCCGTCGAGACCGCGGCCTCCTCTCGCAGCCGTGGGCAATAGGCGCGATCTAGCCATGCATCTGCCAACCTCTCTGGAAGCATCCGAAGACGAGGCGCCGGACCACAGCGATGTGAACTTGGCATGGTTCGTTTGGTTGGCAGTTTCAAGCGCGCCGAGGAATGCCCCCTAGCGCTAGAGACCCAGAGAAGACGAAAGCTGTGGTTTAGCAGTGGCGCCCTCGAGCTGATCAGCGCTCAATTGCAGGCCAGGCTCGGTGGCGACGTCGCGCGCGACAGAGGGGCAGCGAAACGCATCAGAGCGCGGGCCGCAAGAAGCGGGGCCCCATTACTGGAAGAGCTAGCGCAGAACAGAGACTTGGCGCAGCTCCGCAAACTACGACGGGGTTTCTGCCCTGCGCAGGGTCGGCTCCGCGGCGGCGCCGGCGACTTGGTCGACGGCGTCAACTTGGCCGGCGCGCTGGCAGAGCATTTGGAAGCTGTCCAGCGAGCTGCCCGGCCAGCCGCAGCGTTGCCCGACTCTGCGCTGGACGAGGAGTTGCCGGTGATCTTGAGTGCCGTCGCGGAGGGCGACGTGTCTCGCGTTGCAAGGATGCTGAAGACAGGCCGCGCCGGCGGCCTCGAGGATCCCCCGCCCGAGTTTCGGAAAGCCGCGACAGAGGGCGGAGCGCCCGCGCGCTTGGATTGCCAGATCTTGCCATTTAGCGGTCGCGACCCCGACGCCCAGCACAAGGCGCGCGCCCGCGCGCTCTACGAAAGGGGGTGACCCAGCATCGCGCGAGAAGCCGATGTGTTTACATCCCAGTGGGCGCGATTTTTTCGGCGATATTACTGCAGAGGTTGAAGGGCGCGGGGGCCGAAGACCGCATCTTGCCAATTCAATGTGACGTCCGCTCCAAGAGAGGCGCCGCTGATGCGATCTTCGTGGCCAGACGATTCATAGTGGGCGCCTGGGCAATGGAGAGCGGCAGCGCGTTTCCTCTGGCGCTGGTTTCGAAGAAATCATGTTATTCGGTTGCCCCAGACGGCTTCCCTCCGCCATAGTCGTGACGACCCTGATGGCAGGCGCGCGAGGAGCTCTAGCGTCGGCTACCATGCCTCGCCGCTGCGCGCTTCGTCCGGGATCTGATCTACGAGGACGACGCGCCCCTCTCGATGCTGATCCAGTCGCAGTGGGCGAGCACTGCGACAAGCGCTGCGGCTTGAGCCCGAACTGGAGAAAAGTGGACGTCCCGAAGGTCCGCTCTGACGCTCACCTGCAGAAAGGCGCCGGAGACCCAGTGCAGGAGAAGGAAGCCTTGTCTTATCTCAGCACCCAGATCGCGTCGGACGGACGATGTGGATCGGGGCAGAACAGGAGAACCGGCATGGCCGAAAAAGATTTCAAAACATTGAAATCGGTGTGGTCGCATTCCTCATCGGGCAGACATAGAGAGTAACAATATTTCACGCGCGCGTTGTTTCCATGCTTGCGCGCTGTCTAGTTGCAGATTGCGTGAATCAGGCAGATCGTGGAGGAGCAGACGGCGTCCAGGCACGCAGTTTGAGATGCATTTTCCGGATCCCATCTGCTTGCAACAGCCGCGCGTCGAACAGCACCGTTCTCAGCATGGCGGGAGAGTGGCCGCTCAGCGAACTCATCGTCAAAAGACAAATGGTTTTCTGTGGGCAGCATGCCCGCCGTGCTTGCAACGATCCAGTCAGACAGTCTGCTTTTGAACCGGGTCGCATCGTTCTCAAGCAGCAGACACGCCCCCGGAAGAGAGGGCGCCCCCGGCAAATGTAGGAAACAATGGTAATGAATAATTGTTTGGATCTCGTTGGCGCCCCCGCCCGCGTCGCGCTGACTACTTCCGTCCTGAGGGCGGTGCTGCGTGGGCATGGGGGTCAGCAGTCCGCGCATGGCACCTTCGATTTCTGTGTTGTAGCAGATTTACGTGCTTGCGCACTGTCTGGCGCACGGCGGCATGACCCGACCTTTTGAATGAGATCCCCGATGCTTCGCGCGGCGCGCAATAGTTGTATCACCTACTCCGCATGTCCGCCCCAGCATAGACACGACGACATTCGCGCGGCGATGTTCCGACGACAGTCCGACGCACATGCGACGTAAATCCGACATGAGTCCGACGTGGGCCCGACGTGGATCCGACGTAATGGCATCCAGGATGCTTTTCATACGTGCTGGTCGTTGAGAGTCTGTATGTTTGGACGCCCAGAGCCCAATCTATTTCAAGTGCCTCCCCATTTCAATAATCGAAATGGTTACGTTGTCGTTTGTAATATATGAAGAGTGCTTAAACACATCTGTTATCCGCCATCCTGCTTTCTGTGTTTTATCTCCTTCCTCCGACCGACGTGTAACATAGTGTTTGCCCCCGTCCTCCCATCCTCCGCGTTCCCCTCCCCCTGGCTGGCCGCCCTCGCCACGCCGCGCCCGTGCCAGGGCGACGCCCTGTTCGCAGCCGGCGCCGAGGCAAGGTACCAGCTGCTTTGCACATTGTCGGTCCCGCAGGCGGGCATCTCGAGCTGTGGCGAAGCATCGTGGCTTGCCAATCGGCCCACCAAAGTATGTTCTAACAACCTTTTGTGGTGTGTACGAATTGTTATCCGAACATGTTTTGCCGAAAGCGTTTTGTTTTCCACACATCGGATCGACGTTTTAAGAATTCCCGTTTGTTCTTCAGACATTATTTTGGTTTCTAAAAACATGTTGTGGTCGGTTGATTGGAATGCGGGGGCGGTCGGTCCCTGCTCAAGCATCGGGGGGTCAGAGAAGGCACGCGGGAGGAGATGCGGCCGATGAGAGCAGGAGGGATGGGGGACGGCACGCACGGCAGACAGCAATTGTTGTCGCTTCGCGAATCCCCACCAGCCCATCCAGAAACGATGCCCAGAGGAATTGCCTCGATCAGAGAAGTGGGCAGCACACAGAGGAAGCCATTATGAGACATCTTGGGATATCTTGAGCCATCTTGGAGGTCATTTTGGGCTCTCCCAGACGCTCTTGGAGTCATCTTAATCCGTGCCCCCCCCCAAGAGGCCTCCATGTGGCTAAAACCTGTGTAGAATCAATGATTAGGCATTCTCGCCGAGGCCTCTTGGAGCATCTTGGGTGCATCTGGGGGGGCTCTTGGGGCCTCTTGGGGGTCTCTTGGGGGCCTCCGGGGGGCCTCTTGGGGGCCTCTTGGGGCCATTTTGGGGCCATCTTGGGACCTCTTGGGGCTTCCTGGGCGCTTCTTGGGGCCATCTTGGAGGAGATCGATCAAACAAGAGGGGGGGTTCAATTAGCGCCCCCCCTCGGAAGCCCCTAAAATCGCCTCTTGGACCCCTCTTGGAACGCTCTTGGAGTGCTCTTGGGCGCTCTTGGGGCCGTCTTGGGGCTCTTTTGGGGCTCTCTTGGGGCCCTCTTGGGCCATCTTGGAACCATCTCCAGGCCTCGGATGGCCATCGGAAGCGAAAAGGCGAGAAAGCAAAAATCATTGATTTTCCTTAGGTTTTGGGACGATTTTGGCCTCTTCGGGGCCTCCTTGGGGAGCTGTTTGGCCACTTGGAGTTATCTTGGGGCCGTCTTTGGGCTTCTTGGAACCATCTTAGGAGCCATCTCGAGCGATCTTGCGCTATCTTGAGCCATCTTGGAGCTCATCTTGGGTTCTCTGAGGCGCTCTTGGAGCCGTCTTGGGCCATCTGGGACGCTCTAACTACCCGCGGCCCCCCCCGTCCAGGTCCAGGGGAGGGGGTAGGGGGAGGGGTAAACCCCTCCCCAAGGGGGAAGAGGGAGGGGTGGAAGAGGATCTGCTCTAGACCACCTACGCCCAGAGGGCTGGTGGGATTCACGACGAGCGCGCGCGCGGGGAACGAAGCATGGCAAAATAAAGCTAAGCTTGAGGAGGTCCGCGCGGGTTTCTCGGGACTGTCGTTGGGCTCCGTTGGCGGCGCTTCCTGCATCGCCCCTGGCGCGTTCCGCGCGCCTGAGAAGCAGGGGGGTCCAGCGCCGATCCCAAGAGATCCGCGCGGAACCCCGAAAGTGTTGTTTGGCCAGCTGTTGTTTATTATTATTGATATCATGATTAGTAATGTTGCTATTCTTACTGCTATTATTATGATTACTATTCCAGGGAAGGGACTGGATGGGGAAGGAGTGTTTCCAGACCTCCTGGGGCCGCAGAATTGGCTTGGCGAAGGTCCCAAACCTACGCGGCCCCAGACAATCTTGCGCCGTGAAAACATTATGACGGAGTTACGTGGGCCGTTTCGGACTCTGTGCGTTTACTTGGCCGCGGCACCGTCAACGCCTACTCAGGATGAGAAGCCCGTTTTCTGGAAGGGATATGGACACATGCTGTGAACAAGGTCACGACGTCGGATGTCTAGGCCCATAGCCAGCCGCGTGTGGTCAGTAGGGCCGCTGGTGGGAGCCCCCGCAGACGCTGTAGGTGGGGATCCCTGTGACGATCTGCGTGAGGAGTGTGCCAGCATGAACGGTTGCCCACAAGCGGACGCTCCATCTAGAAACACAGGTGCAGCTCCCAATTCCCAATGGGGCCACGACCCGCGTGAAGGGTGTTTTATGCGCACACCACGGATGAGGTCGTAGGTGGAGCTCTCTATCAGGGCACGACCTCCATGAGGGGTATACCGAGTTCAATTGCCATGGCCCCGCATGCGAACCGACAAGTTGTGCCGTAGCTGGAGCTCCCTACGGGGGCACGGCCCCCTGCAAGGGGTGTGCCGAGGTCGTTTCGCATGCGCGTACCCGTCCTGGCGCCGTAGGCGGATCTCCCCATGGGAGCACGGTCCCTCGAGTGGTGCGCCGAACTGGGCGGGGCGACGCTACGTGGACGCCCTCACTGGTGCCGTAGGTGCTCCCTGTGAGGGCACAGTTCCCATGGGGAGCGTGCCGAAACGGCACGAGGAGGGGGGAGAGCGGGCACGCGGACAGCGCAGGCAGCGGTGCAACAGAGGCAATTGTGGAGCAGCAGCACCAGGGTGCAGCAGGCAACGCACCACCAGTCAGGGCAGGAAGAGGAGGAGGCTTAGGAGGAGGAGGAGGAGGAGGAGGAGGATGAGGAGCAGAAAAACGAAGAGTAGGCGGGCGCGCGGCGCTGCGAAGAGAACGAGGCTTCAACAGCACCGCAGGATTGCTGGGGAGAAGTCATGATTCGCAGTTTGGTTGCAGAGTTTGGCGTGCGGTGGTTGCCTTCAGGGCCCGAGACAATGACAAACATGTCTCCGACGAACTGGTTGACCTAGGGGTGGGACTGTCAGCTCCAGGGGGGGCATGTCGTGAAGAAGTGACAACTTCGAAGGAGGAACGTTGACATTTCTAGCCCGGAACTTTGAAGTTCGGGTCACTGGAGGGCCCGTCCTCGAAGTCCTTGTCAGAGTGCACGGCAGGGCAGGTCCGATCCAGTCCAGGAGTGACCGGTGCATCACTATATAGCCCCGAAGTCGAAGGGCAGCAGCAGCGCCTCCTCCTCCTCCTCCTTCTCGCTCGTTTTCTGCTGATCTCATTCTCTGAAGGCTGTTCTCTTTGGCCCTGGGGCCATCAGCGAACGACCCGAAACGAAAGCTCTGCCCTGCCAGGGGCGGGGCCGAGTCGAGAGAGCTCCCTGGCCCGCGTCGTGGACGTAGTCACGGCTCCGTGCGGCATGGAGACGGCGCCTGCGCACGCGGGCGCCTCCGCGGGCGAGTCCGGCCCGAGGGAGGTTGGCTCGCCTCCCTGCACTCGGGCCCCCCCTCGCAGGAGAAGAATGGGCCAATGTTCCGCCACCAGTACCCTAGGTAGGACGGGGGAGAAGGGAGGATGGGGAGGTCCTCCTCCTCCTCCTCCTCCTCCTCCTCCTCCGCCTCCGCCTCCGCCTCCTCCTCCTCCTCCTCCTCCTCCTCCTCCTCCTCCTCCTCCCTCTTTACCTATAGTGGTGGTGGTCGTCGTTCCTTACTTAGGGTTCCTTAGGTCAGGGCCCCGACTGTATGTCTGGGCTCGGCGCCTCGCCTCCCCCCCGGCGGCGCCTCCGGCGGCGCCTCTGGGAGCCCCGCGCGCCAAGGGAGGGGTGTCTGGCGCGGAGCACAGCAGTCAGCGCGGACCGCCGGGAGCTGTTGTTTCTGCTTTGTTTCTTCTGTTCTTCAGTCGGGGGTGGACGGAACCCCCAACAGTGACACGTCGATTCTTGAATTGTCCGTTTTCGGTTCTCGAGAGGGCGCCGCGGCCGTTATTTTCCAGGCTTGCGCCCGCCAGGTTCGGGCCCAAGGTCGTTTTCACTAGACCACGTTCTACTAAAGGGAGGTTTGTCCATCCCCGATAAACAGCGCCCTGGGCATTTGTTCTATACCGTTTTGCACTCTGGGTCTCTTGGCAAGCCATAAACACGGAAACGAACCCCTCCGTTTGTGGCATCGTTTTTTATTAATTGTGTTGTGTGTTAGCGGTTTCAGGCATCTTGTTGTGGATCGTTCTTGCTGTTGCGTTTTCGACTTCATGTCAGTGTCTGCTCCTTGACTTCACTGCCCTCTTCGCTCCCGTTCTCCCGCTCCTGCCGCCTCCCGTTCCTCCCGCTCCGTGCGCAGAACGCAGAGTCTAAGAACGCCGGAACAACGCCCTAAGACCGGGAGGCCCCGCGACCAGGCGACCAGCCAGCATTGACGACCAGAACAAAATTATCACAGAGGAAACCCATGCCAAGAAACACTCTGCTTGCCTCCAGGGTGCCCTTGGTTTCTTGGGTTTCGATGGTTTTGCTATTGAAGTTGTGGCGTTCCCACACTAAAAATCAATGAACGTGCTGGCGTCTCAGGGTTGGGTTTCTTGTGGCAGGTTCTCGGGGTCGAGTTCCTACTGTATCACCGGCGCGGAACAGGCCTGGAGGCCCCGCGACCAGCATCGACGGCCAGAGAAGAGCAACATGGGCAATCCATTCCCGCACATCACGCTCGGCTTCTGGCTCGGATAGAGGGCAGACACCGAGAGCTCGCGAGACCCCCCTAATCAATCAAGTTTTACGTGCTGGCCTATTGCCGATACTCGTTGCAAAACCGAGCGTGTTCGAGGAGTGCGGGCGGTCCGACCCCGATCAGTTGGCGCTTCAATGGTAGAGTCAAGTGGTGGGGGGGGGAAAATGGATCATGAGGCCGAGACGGGGTGACACGGAAGGGAGGCGGGAGGATCACGTATGACGGTTGGAGTGTTTGAACTGGACGAGAAGTCAGGGTGGGTATGAGGAAGGTGGGGGATGGCAAAAGGAACAATGCGGATGACGTGGGAGGGACATATCTGAAATGAGCTGGCAGGTGATGGACATCCTGGAGGCATTCACCAGGTTCCTTCGACACGGAGGTGGCCACGAACACAGGTTTGGGCTTTTAGTGGTAAAACGTAGAAGAGGGGAGTATCATCGTCGATGATGATTGTGGGGAAGAGGAGGGTGAGGAGATACGCATGATGATCATGGTGAACAGGAGGAAGACTGCAAGACAAGTTCAGACAACACGTATCGGGAGGCGGTTCATATATACATTATATATATAACTAGTCGTTGGCAGCTTTCGTGACATGTTTGCAGCGGGAGCTCGCGTCAAATTTCAGATTGGGTTCGGCATTTTCATGATGTCCCGGTCAGGCCAACCGCATTCCCTGAGTCCGGGTCGTACGTCTCCCCGAACTTTGAAACATATATGAGGGCCCCGTAGTGAAAGTATGTTTTGGGAGCGCTAACATATGCATACTTTATACCTGCCTTCACCTAGTTAGACTTCTGCGTGCAGCGTCTCATTATCGTATGCATCTACATACATAGTGGTGGAACTACGCGCATCCATGCATACAGTAAGTGCTTATATATGGTCCAGGGTTTGGGCCCCCCCCCCAATGCTGATGCCATTGGGCCCCCCCCACACCCCCGCGCGATGGTCCCCCCCGCCCCCCCCTGTGGGCGTGGCGTGGTGCTGCGCTGCGGTTCCCCCCCACCCCCCCCCCGTGGATGTGGTGTGGTGCTGTGGTGGTTCAGAGGTGGGCGTGGCGTGGTGCTGCACTGCGGTGCCCCCCTCCCCCCCCCCTGTGGATGTGGTGTGGTGCTGTGGTGGTTCAGAGGTCGTCGTCCTCGTCCTCGTCCTCGTCCTCGTCCTCGTCGTCCTCGTCGTCCTCGTCGTCCTCGTCGTCCTCGTCGTCATCGTCGTCGTCGTCATCGTCGTCGTCATCGTCGTCGCCGCCGTCGTCATCGTCGTCATCGTCGTCGTCGCCGCCGCCGGCGTCGTCGCCGCCGCCGCAGCCGTCGTCGTCGTCGTCGTGGTCGTCGTCGTCGTCGTCGTCGTCGCCGTCGTCGCCGTCGTCGCCGTCGTCGCCGTCGTCGTCGTCGTCGTCGTCGTCGTCGTCGTCACTGGGACCATACCATCTGGGGGGGGGGGCCCGAGGAATCCTGGGACCATACCATCAGGGGGGGGGGGGCCCGTGGGCCCTCGACCCTGGATCATATATGAGGACCTACAACCGTGTACAACTATATGTGTGAATATACGCATATTCATTCACACGTATGTGCATATGCGTGCACACGCAGGTACACGCGTATGTATTGCAGCCTCGTGCGGCGACCCACAGGTACCCCTTGCCTTTTGGGTAACATTATGGCCAAGCTATGGGACAAAGCTCCCCTAGCCGTTGTGGAAACCATTGGGGGGTCATCTGTGGGTTTAGTGCAAGGAAGCAGAGGGGGCAGAGGGGAGGAGGGGCCTCGACCACGTGGGATTGCACCCACTAGCGGGTTCAGGCGCCCACCAGCCACACAGCGCACCCCCCCCTTCTCGCCGTCGCGACTGAGGAGGTTCCCCCGCTGCGCCTTCCCTCTCCGCCCGCTGCTCCCCTCCGCCGCCGCCGCTCCGACGCCGCCGCTCCGCCCCTCGGCTTCTCCGCTCTGCTGCTGCCGGCGGGTGCCACCCCCTCCGCCGTTTGGGCGTTGCGTAATAGGGGGGTCATAAATGGGGGGGTGGCGAGGGTGGTCCGAAAAGGTACCCAAACGGTGCCTAAACGAGCCCCCTGGGGCTCCGGAGGGGCCCGAAAGGGGCACGAAAGGGGACCGTTTCTGACCCCCCTATTTGTGACCCCCCCATGAAGCCACGCCCAAGCCGTCGGGAGCCTTGAGACGGGGGTCAATGCAAACGGGGGTCAGCCAGGACACCAGATCCTGCAGGATCCTGCGAAGACCCCTTCTGGCCGACCCGTGTCAGCGAGCCGCTCGTGGCCGCGAGGGCGGCCGCGCATATTGGCTGACCCGGGTTTGCGAGGACCTGCGTTGCAGTTTTTTGTCCTGCATTTCAGTTGTTTGGTTTCCTGCTGACCCGGGTCTGGATTGACCCGGGTCAGAAGATCCCCGACGCCGTTGCCGCCGCTCCCCCACCGCACCCCGTCCGCGACCGCTCCCCCGCCGCCGCCCCCCTGCTGCGCCGCCGCTGCACGCCGCGCTCTGCCGCTGCACGCCGCGGCGCGCCGCTGCACGCCGCCATCGCCCGTGACTTCCTCGCGCTCCGCGTGTCAAATGGAGCCTCCCGGCGGCCCGCCCGCTCGACCTGGCCGTCTGGGCCTGCGCGCCCGACCTACCTTTATGTCGGGCGTGTCCCCCATACAGGGGGATCTTCGACGAGAAATAAGAAAATACAGAAAAATTATAGCAACAAATTAAAAAATGCTCAAAAAATAGTCCCCATATTATTTTTGGATGATTTTTGAAATATTCTTGCAATACTTGTCATTTTTCATCGAAAATCCCCCTCTGGGGGGACAGGACCGACTTAAACCTACCCGATCTTGCCCGCCCGCACGCCGCAGATAAAGGGGCCCTGGGACACACAAATAAATACACACAAATAAAAGGATCCCCCCATATTTTCCCATGTTTTCTGGGTTTTCGTCTTCCCCCCCACCTCCCATATTCTTCCATATCTTCCTGGGACTCGACGATCAATTGTGTCTGTGTGTCTTTTCTCCTCCTGAGCAGAGGCCCCCGGCGTTCGCCGACTTTCTCGCGTCCCTCGTTCACCTCTGCCTGGAGAAG